TCTTAGCAAACGGCAGCAAAAGGATTATAGGTAAATTGTTAACCAGGACTTAAAAACTCAAAGCTTGCATGCTTCAATCTAAAAAACATAACAAAGTTTTTTTAAAAAAATAAAATGAAGTTAATATATAGGATTCTATTCAAATTGGTTTGGATTGCACTTGATTTAAGTTTCATTAACATTATTCCTCACAATATCACAGACAATAAAGGCTATTCACAGAAGAATTGGGCCTGTAACTGTTATTGTTGTCATGTGCCGTCAACTCAGACCCGACTCATAATGATCCCTCCTTGGGTTTCTGAGTCGGTAACACTACGGAAATAGATTGCCCAACCTTCCTTCCAAGGAGTGGCTGGTGGATTTGAACCACCAGCTTTCTGGTTAGCTGTCAACTGCCATAGGCACTATGGTACCAGAGCTCCTAGTCTTCTATAATTTCCTTGACTCTGATCATTATTACCTTCACAAGACTTATCATTATTTGACATCAAATTTTTCATGCATTACTTGTTTACTGTCATCTTCTCCCACTGGAATACCAGGTTCATAAGGGCAAAAACCTTACCTATCTTATTTGTCCACTGTATGCTCAGTGCCTAGAAGAGCATCTAGCACCTAGCAGAAGCTACATAAATTTGCAAAATAAAGGTATAAATCAATGGCTTCCCCCTGTAGCCTCCCCTCTTCCCTTCCTCCATAAAAATGTTAAGTATTCTTTAAGGCCAAGGCTATTCCATTACTTCTGTGAAGATTACCTCCCTGAATCCTCCATCCTTTCTCCTACATACCATGATTTTGGCACTTAGCAGCTGATAATCGTTCATCTTTATATACATATATACATACACATACATACACACACACACACACACACTTCTCTTAAAGTCTTCACAATCCTGCTTAAGGGCATATACCAGTGTCCCCAATTACTGGTATACATGTCCTTGTTGTTTTTGTTGCTATGTGCCATTGAGTCGGATACAACTCATAGCAACCCCTCGTTGGGTTTCCGAGGCAGTATCGTTACAGAAGTAGATTGCCTAATCTTCCTTCCAGAGGAGTGGATGGTGGGTTTGAACCACCAACCTTCTGGTTAGCAGTCAAATGTCTTAGGCATTACGCCACCAGAGCTCCCATTGGTACACACAGTACACTCTTAGTAAATGTTTTGCCTGATGATTGATTTTTATATGTAGTTAATCAAGAAATCAATTCAATCAGTTCATTTTATGCATCCCTCTCTCCCAAATCCACCAGCCACTCCTCAGAAGGAAGGCTGGGCATTCTACTTCCGTAGTGATACTGCCTCAGAAACCCAAGAAGGGGTAGCTATGAATCGGGTCCAACTCAATGGCACATAACAACCCTCCCAAATAACTCAATATAGGCCATGAAATTGCAGTGGGCCCCCCTTTATTTTAAATTTATCTCTGGCAATTTCAAGTTTTATATTTCCTGCCTGTAATTCACTTTATCCTCTCCCCTTCCCCCAGATTAAATGTCTCATGTAATAAAAATCCTTGTGTCTTTTTCGTGATAGCTATAAAGAGGCTTCTAGGCCCAATCAAAAAGGGGGTAAACTTTTACTACCTTCTTCTTGCTGAGGTACCTGTGGATATTTTCCCCTTTATGCCTTTTCCCTTTCATGTATCCCATTTCCTTCTTCACTGATCATACACCCCTGGCAAGCTTTTATTATTTCTTTGTACCTGTCCTCAGTAATTTGCCTTAGATCCTACTTTTTGAGCCACTCCTGTTTATCTCTTCCAGTCATTTATTTTATTAAATTTTCAACTCCTTTTCTCAATCAGTTCGTGCTTGAGAATGGCCTCGTCATAAAGCATGAGCCTGCTACTTTAAATCCAGCCAACCTTATAATCTCATCCCTTCATACAGCCAACCCTTGATCATCTGCACTAATGAAATGTATAAAAATATCAGATTATCTACAGCACAAGAAAATCAGAAAAAAAACTGAGATCTGGTTTTGGAATACATCATGAGGATTTGGGTAAGATTTATTGACTTAATTATGTTTTGCTTAAGGCAACATTAGTTAAGATTTTGTTTTATAATGGTTGATGTGTCTCTGTTTCATAATTTGATGCAATTAATTTAAAAAGAAGTCAATCAAGCATCAACTGTGGTTTTTCCCCTATGAAGCCTTTTCAACTAGTTCTTTCAATCTGTTAAAACGTATCATAAAATCCAGTTTCTGTTTCCTCTGATTTATCTCTCCCTTTTCTTGGAATTCTGATCCAAATCAACTCACTATATATTAATTTATCTCTTCTATTCAAAGTTTCTTTTGTTTGAGAACTCAAAGCACATTAAAAATATTAAATCTCCAGTGAGATTTTTAGTCCAAGTAACACAGGATAGAAAATCTTTTTGTCAATTACTCCAGAAAAACCTGGGCTTCTAAGATAAATTACACTGGTAATTCCAGCAAAGTATTTTCAGTAGAAAATTATGATGAAAAAATAGAAAAATATTTACTGGCTATGTAAATCTGCCTGATCAATATATAATCCCATAGTCTAAAAACTTTATTGAGTTAAATTCTCAACATCAGACTTTAGAAAATAACATGAAAACAAACTCACACATCAATCCTGGCCCTTCTCCTGGTCACAGTCTAAATTTTGCACCCATCTCAGACCTACTCTTAAACCCTGATCTCAGCCTCACCTCCACTCCCAAACACGCCTCAAATAATTTTTAAGTGTAAGGAAGAAAAAACTCGGTTAACAGGAGCTCCTCTTGTGCCCCCTTCTCAGTGTTACTACCATTAAGCTTTTAGTCACAGAGACTAACCCTTGAACCCCCAATTTTACATGACTACTGGGTATTTACCAAACTGAACCAAAGGATAAGGACTTCTCCAATTCAAGGAACAAAACTGAAGAACTCTGCACTTCTGTTCCCTGCCCCCTCCATAATTACGCACATTCCAAAAAACTACAATGTTTAATTAGAACATCCAAGTAATATATGTACAATTTTAAACCAAGTCATATATTTTACTTTGAGTTACTGACATACCAGAGGTTAAAATAAAACTTTTTCAAATATCATTAACAGTTTATACATTTTTTTACGTACAAATGTAGACTTTATTAACCTTATTACCACCAGAATTAAGAATGAACTCATTTCTAATTTTTTCCCCATGTGGAACTTTGGTAAGTGCAAATTATTTTACCTAAAAAACAACTTTGGGGCTGGTATTATTAAGCACAATTCTTTACATAAAATGTTAACAAATGTTAACCAAACTTTTTAAACACCCTTCCATTCAGTCCTTAAACTCAATAGATTCCACAACTTTATTTTAAAAAGAAATACAAAAAAAAAAAGTTGTTTTAGGGTGCCTGGTCATATTTTGACTAAAATACCTACACAAAGCCATGAGTACTTAGTTTTCAGTTTACTTCTCCATGTTGCTACCTTCACCAAATAAAGAATTCCACAAGCCTCAATTATGACCTCCCAAGCTGTGTGTCCATCAATATATACGATTCTCAAGAAAAAGTATTTTTTTAATTCATTAATTCATTGGTAAAAGATTTTCTTCTTTTAAAGTTTTACCTTAAGTTTTAAAACCTCAAAAAACTTTTCTCGATGAATAAATCCTTTGAGTAAAACAGTTGTCATCTAAGTGCACTCTCAATCATTCTCATAGTCGGCATAAAGAAGTTTTTTTTTTTTTCTGACAGTTTAAATTCCCCAAATTAATAGTCATGGATGGTAAATTTCAGACACACACACTCACAGAAAAAGAAAAAAAAAACATACCTGGTCATTTTCTAAACAGGTTTGATAGGTTTCCTTCACTTGTAAGAGTAAAGTATTTATTTATAATCTTTTAAAGCACAAGTGGCAGCCAGAACACTGGATAAATAAAAACTTGAGTTTTAAAAATCTTGCATCTTAACTCACCTCCCCATAGTTCAAGGGGACAGCACAGCGAAACTCATAGCAAATGACATTATGCAACAGGTTTTTCCTCTCCACCTTATTCATTATAGGCTCGTTAGAGGTGTGCTTTCTCCAAACAATTTGAGACACCCAGGACTTCAAAATACCAAGGATCTTTGCAGTTGGCGTTTAATAAACTTCTTTAGGATTTTAAAGTATCCATTCATTTTGTTAATCCTGGTGAAACCCTAAATGCTTTTTCTTTTTTTTAAGATCTACTTTTATTTTTTCAAGTTAATTGCCGGAAGTTTTTAGGAAATAAACCCAACATCCGAAAACTAAAGGTTTTGCATAAATATCCCCCTCCCCCGGAGTTTTATTACATGGAACTAAACTTGATAAACAGTCCCTCAGTTGTCTCCCTGGGCTTTTTATTTCTTATGTCTTACAGCTGCTGTAAATAAAGAAGTCACTGACGCACCGGGCCCACAACAGCATGACTGGGGCCCCAGATGAAAATTGAGATTTGGGGGGACGGGGGTGGTGGTGGTTTAGTTTAAGAAAGTCACCACCCAGGTGGCCTCGCTGAATACACCAAAGGCGAATTTGGGATAATGGGAACAGTCAGGCTGGGGCCCCACTTGGCAGGCGTGTTGTGTAACAATCGTGCCTGGAAGTGAGCAGCTTCGCCCGTGGAGGTACCGCGTCCCGCCGCGGCAACTCCTCTCACCGGGGCCCTTGCCGAGCCCGCTCGCAGCTGCGCGACCAGGGGCGCACGGCAGACTCCGCTCCCCGGCCGCCCGCCCCCTTCCCGCTCGGGCCGGCCCCCAGCAAGGCCTAATCCCCCCCACCCACTTTAAACGCTCGCGCAGCTGAGCAGCAGCCACCCCCACCCCGCCTTCCGAAAAGGTGGCCGGGGCTCCCGGGAAGGCAGGGCCGGTGGGGCAAGAGCGCGGCACCAGGTACCCCAGAGTCCCGGCTCGCCGCGAAGCGTCCATGCTGCCGGTGCGGACCGGCGCTCGGAGCCCCGAGCCCTCCCGCCCGCATACCCCGCGGGCCGGCCGAAGGCCACTTACTTTTGGGGCCACCGACCTCCCGACTCCCTCTGGGGGAAACGAAAGTTGTCACGACGTCTCCCCTCGGGCCCCCTCGCCTCCCGGACTTGCGAGGCGCCGCCGCGGAGCGGGGAGGGCGGCTGCGCTCCCGCTCGCGTCCCGTCCGGTCGTTCTCTTCGCCTCTTCTTTTCACTATATTATCTTCTCCTTCTCTGAGGGGTGGGTGGGGGCGGGAAGCTTAGGAAGAGAGGAAACGTTTGCAACTTTTCTTCACTCTTTCTTTCTCTTCCACCCCCCCCCCCGTCAGCCTTGAAAAAAAGTCGAAAGGGGTGAAGACCTTGGGGAGGTGAAGGTGGTGGGTCGGGTGAGAAAGTGGAGGGGGGAGGGAGAAGTGATAATAATCGTTTAAAAAGTGATTGAAGCCCCCCAAACAGTAATACACAGAAAGAGGGGGAAAGGCGGGGGGGTTGGGTGGGGGGTTGGGGAAAAAGAGAAAGAGTCGCTGGTCAGGAAACTTCAAGCGCGGATGAGGTCATTGGTTTAAAAATAAAGAGATGGCGTCACTTGAAACCAATCCCAGTGAATGAACTCAGCGGAGCCCCGGGGAAAGGAGGAGACAGGCGAGGGCAGGGCGGTGGGCGCCGGGCGGAGCCGCGCGCCCGCCCGCCCTTTCTGCGGACGCCCGAGCCCAGAGCGCGGCTCCGCGCCTCATTTCGGCAGCTCCGGGAGGGGTCAGGTCACGTTCCCTTCCAGAGTTAGGAGACTCTGAGGCAGGTTCTGCTGGCGCCGCTGGGTGGAGCCCAGGCTGCCCGTGGAGGCGGCCCCGCGGCCTCTTCTTTCCGCACCCGTGCGCCCGCAGCCCACGCCGGGCTCCAGGCCCCGAACCTCGAGGTCCCCTGTCTCCTTCTGAGCTGCGTGCGCCTCCAGCGCTGCGCCTAACAGATATTTAAGGGTTTTTCCCCTACGGAGGAGACGCAGAGCCCTTTCCCTCTGCTTTGGGTTGTTTCCAGCTGCCTCGCCAGCGTAAAGAAACGCCAACAATGATTTTAAGAATTACAATTGCTCTTTAAATGGTCTAATAAACCCAAAACGCAGTACTTTTGCCCGTCTCTTATGAAAGAGAAATTACAGGTACTTTTAAGAAATCACACCAGTGTTGCTAGGCATTCAGCTATCTATTTGTGTTAGTTATTGAAAGCCCGCACACGAATGATCCTAAATCATTTTACTTTGGCAAACAAATAGGATGCTGTGAGCAGCCTAAAATTCTCCTTAAAACTGTTTCCTACATCTGGCAGCACAGAATCACCTTTAAATCACACCAGGATTCACTGCCTTCTAAGATGTGGGAGTTCTTTTTATTTTAACTCCGCATACATAATGCACTTTTTAATTTGAATTCATTAAATAGCTTTATTTAAGAGGACATTACACACCTTGGAAAACTAGAGACCCAGAGGTGGTGACAAACCAGGGCTTGGAATCACTGACTAGGACAATAGGAGCTTTATGCAAGTGTTCTTTGAGCATTTGAGCATGAAGCTGCTTCTACTGAGAAGTACTCACGTGGATATCACATAACAAAGATGTGATTAATGACGGAAAAGCACACTGCGAGTGGACTGCTCCGTGAGCCAAAGTTTATGTGTAGGAATAATCTACTTTTTAAAATATTCCGTTAGCAATGTACTGGGTCAGGGATACTGGTCCCTAAATGCATCTTTGTTGTGGGATATCCGTGTGAACACTGCTTAAGGGACTTTTTTTCAATTGGTAAAAATTGAGAAGCAGTTCTTGGGTAGGTTAGAATGATAACACATCTCTGTTACTGCTTTTCTTTTTTAAAATCCTGCAACTAAAGCATTATTACTGATAATTTTTTAAGGTTAGTATTATGGGGATGTCACTTTGAGAATTAAGGCACACCTGACGCAAGCCATGGTGTTTTCATTGCCTCATAGGAATTCGAAAGCTGGACACTGAATAAGGAAGACCAAAGAAGAATTGATCCCTTTAAATTACGATTTTGGTGAAGAATATTGACGGTACTATTGACTGCCAGAAGAACAGAACAAATCCATCTTGGAAGAAATATAGCCAGCGTTCTCCTTAGAATCGTGAATGGTGAGACTTCAACTCATGTACTTTGAAAGTTATCTGGAAGGACCAGTCCCTGGAGAAGGACATCATGTTTGGTAAAGTAGGAAGTCAGTGAAAAAGAGATGGATTGACACATTGGCTATAACAGTGGGCTCAAGCATAACAACGATTTTGAGATTGTGAGGATGGCGTAGGACCAGCTGTGTTTCGTTCTGTTGTACATAAAAAAAAAAAAAAAACCTCTCACTGCCCTAAGTGGGTCCCGACTCATGGTGAGGCCTCCTTGGGTTTCCGAGGCAGTGTCTCTATGGAAGCAGATTGCCCAATCTTCCTTCAGAGGAGTGGCTGGTGAGTTTGAACCACTAGCCTTCTAGTTACCAGTCAAATGCCTTAGGCACTACACCACCAGAGCTCCCCTGTTGTACATAGGGTCACTCATATAAGTCAGACCTGATTCAAGGGCACCCAAAAAACAACAACATTGTGAGGTGAAAGGAACCATGGTGGCACAGTGGTTAAGTGCTCAGCTGCTAACAAGCTGAAGGTGGGAGGTTGGAACCCACCAGCCACTCCTTGAGAGAAAGATACGTCTGCTTCTGTAAAGATTGTTGTTCTTATGTGCCTTTGAGTCAGACCCAATACATAGCGACCCCTCCTTGGGTTTCTGAGGCGGTATAACTATGAAAGTAGATTGCCCAACCTTCCTTCTGAGGAGTGGCTGGTGGGTTTGAACCGCCAGCCTTCTGGTTAGCAGTCAAGTCCTTAGGCACTATGCTACCAGAGCTCCCAACAGTCTTAAAAACGCTATGAGACGGTTCTGTTCTGTTCTATAGCATCTTTGTGAGTCAGAATCTACTAAATGGATATGGCTTTTTATTGTGGGAACTTCAGGCAATCCTTTTAAAGGAAGAATAGGAGCCCAATTAGGAGCTCTGGTGGTGTAGTGCCTACGGCATTTGACTGCTAACCAGAAGACTGGCGATTCAAACCCACCAGCCACTCCTCAGCAGGAAGGTTGGGCAATCTACTTCGTAGTGATAGCACCTGGAAAACCCAAGAGGGGTTGCTATGAATCGGATCCGACTCGATGGCAGTGGGTTGGATTTGGGTAGGAGCCCAATTGGAGATGGGAGACAGATGAGCAATCCAGACTGCAAGAGAAGCCTAAAGGTCACAAATCCAAAGGCACTAGTAGCCTCTGCCTTTGACCTCTTTAGCCTCCGCTCAACGGCAGTGCGTTGTGTTACCTTGTGTTGAGTTTTTGACCTCTTTAAAATTTTTTCAGAGGGGAAGTTTCTCCCACTTCTCCCTGTCCTCTGGTGGCCAGGAGATATTACTGCAATTTCCTGGGGATTACCTGTAGCCTGCAAGTTACCAGTTGCTGTTAAGTCGATTCTGACTCATGATGACCCTATGTTTGTGTCAAAATATAACTATGCTCCATAGGGTTTTCAGTGGCTGATTATGGGGAAGTAGATCGCTAGGCCTTGCTTCCTGAGGCCTCTGGGTGGATTGTAACCTCCAACTTTTTGAATAGCAATCAATTGCATTAACCATTTGTATTCTAAAACAGCTTCCAGCAAATTGAGAGAGATGAGTAAATGCTAGATAAACCAACGGCAGATGAAGTGCTCATATACTTAGGGTACCAGCCAAGCTGAGGCTCCAAGATTTTACCATCGGATAATCTAGTATATCTACATGTGTGATTTAGTATTGTTTTTCATTAGAATTAAGTATGGGGGAGGTACACCATAATCTTTAATGCTTAGACCCTCTTAAAGGTTTGTTGTTGTTTTTGTTACTGTTTGCACCACCCAGAGCTAAAGGGAATGAACAGGGCTATTCAATTCAGCTCATGGTTAGTGAACAGATCCTATATGTCAGGTGCTTCCACGCCCATGAGCTGGGTCAGGGCATAAGCAGGACTTCAGAGGAGATGGAACAGCTCATTTCCGCAAGATCCACCCCAAAGAAAAACAAACCCACTGCCATCAACTTGATCCTGACTCATACAGACCCCCACTGGGTTTCAAGTCTGTAAATCTTTACAGAAGTAGATTGCCTCATCTTCCTGCAGCTACGCAGTTGGTGGGTTTTAAACCCCCAACCTTCTGGCTAGCAGCCAAATACCTTACCTACTACACAACCAGCCAGTAAGTATAAAGTCAAGACCTGATGTAAGTAAGTATAAACCAAGGCCTGATGACTCCAAGTATCATGTTCTTTCTAATACACTGCCCTGCAGGGGTGTCTGTAATTCCTTCTCAGCTAAGAGAGAGTTGATGTGAACCTCAACAGCAGCGCCAATGACTAGCCCCTATGTGAGGCTTGGACTTAGAACTAGCATTGCTTTCACTTAATTCAGGCCCCTATTCAGAGATTTCCTCATCTCTGGAGGTAAAAAGGAAATACCATACCATTCTGTAAAATACTAGGTAGCCACTTAGGCTCTCCTCAGCCTGGGAGTAGTCCACTGGGTCTAGTTCCTGAGCAATCAAAGAGACATTGCCACTCATCTATGGGACTTGCAGTCTCTCTGTGATTCACATGTTATTCCTCCAGTAAATGTGCCCTATTCTTAATCCACATGGTCTCATTTATTTTATTTTATTTTACCTTTACTTTCACTAAGTTAATACGTGTTTACCCTCTACTTAGTGGTTTACCCTCCCTTCTCTCCCTTCCCCTGGTAACCATCAAAGAATACTTCTTCTTCTTCTTCTTTTGCCTCTTAAAGTTTTAATCCATACCTGGATGAAGTTTATCATTCATTCAACAAATAGTGATTGAGTGCCTGCTACCAGTATAGTTATATGGTTATAAGCAATATGCTTATAAATTGGACAGGCAAAGTCTCTTCCCTCCTGGAACTACTATTCTAGTGGGGAAAGAAGAAATAAATAAGTTAAGTAAACAAAAATAATGACTAGGACTGTGACAAGATGGGCTATATATAGGGAGGAAAAACTGGATGAGGTAATAAAGAATGGCAGAACGGGTCAAACGTGGTTGGGGAAGGTATCCATGGGGAGAGGACATTTGAACTGATGCCTGAAGAATGAGAAGCAAGCAGGGAAAGTAGACACTTTCTTGAACTTGCTAGAAACTTAATCTTCCCATCAACATTCTGAGACACTTCAACAGGAACAGAGTGACTTATAGAGAGTTGGAATGTTCCAGGAGCAGA